AAAGGAGTATAAAGAATTAGTATGCATGTGAATATGAAATGATGAACCAGCAAATCTCAAACTAGATAAATGACTCAGTAAGAAAAAGACAAAGTAGGTAAGTCTGTGAGTCGGGCGCCCTGAGGAGCCAGTAGAAATAGTTACATAAGGTGGACGGAACTAGGTTTTAGGGGAGAGTGGGATGCCTGAAACGGTGATGTTGGCATTGGAACAGTTTTGGGTGGTGAGAAGTTCCGGGGTGAGAGGAGGGCAGTGGTGGGTGTCTGAGCTGGGGTAGAGGAGGAGGGCATAGAAGAAAGGTGAGCCAGGAGACAGACTAGGTACTGGACCTGTTAGTACTTGACAGTTAAAAAGGACTGTTTTAACATAGTGTCTGATGTAGGATCTGCCTCAAAACAGGAAGAACAGAATTGTTACCCCCATTTTATAGATAGGAAAGCAGGCCCAGAGAGGTGAGAACTTCCTGACAGCCCGAAGGAGAGTTGGGGGTTGAGTGGGACTTACCTCCCGTCTCGTGTCCCCACACTCATGCTCTGTCCACTGAGGCTTAGTGGGGGTGTCGTGTGAAAGATCGGGGAGTTGTGTTTTTGGAGATCAAAAGTGAGAGGAAGTTAGGCATGGATTCACATGGAGGTTAGATATATGCAGGAAATCCACCAGAAATATTAAAAGTAGTTATTCTTGGGTAGTTGTGATTGTGACTCTGGATAGCTTTTTCCCTTTGTTTTATTTTTCTGTATTTTCCAAATTTCCTATAATGGACATACATTATATGGACTTTTAAAAATTAAAGAATTATTTTTAACTAGGTTCTATATGGGAAATTCAAAAAGTACGAATAGAAACGCAATATATAATACCTTTATTAAAGGAAAACTGAATATTTTATTTCTTTTCTTTTTTAGAAATGCACTTGGTGATGGAAAGAGAGCCATTATTCTGAAGAACAATTGGACAAAGGTAGGATTCTTTTATTTTTACATTGGGCAAATTATGCCATATAACTTTGCGAAAAATCAGCTTACAGGGTGTACGTAAAAATGGAGGATAAAATATGCAGCGTTGAAGAACGTGACAGGGACTCTTCAGTCCCATAATCAGAAAGGAGACAGCACAGCAGTGAGAGGCAGCGTGTGTCCAACGGGCACAGGTAGCCCATAGGAATCGTGAGGTTCTTGAGAATCCCTGAGCAGTGGAGATAGCAGCATCTGCACATTCTGAATGGATTAAAGACCTAACTGTGAGAAATGAAACTTAAAATTGAGAAGGGACTGTAGGAGACTGTCTTTATAACCTCGGGATGGGAAGGATTTCTTAAATAACACACAGTGCACAAATGAGTATGTGTGTGCCGGGGGGCGAGGGGGACCCTGATAAATTTGAATATATCACGCTTAAAAACTTATGCATGTCAAAACCTCCATGAATGAACTTGTAGTCTGGGAGGAGATCAATTGTCACATATATAACATGTATAACTGATAGGATTTATATCCAGAATATGCTAAGAACTAAAATAAATATAAAGCCCCAGTAGAAATGGGCCAGAAAACAAGCATTTCACAGAGGACGAATCCTGAATGGGCAATAGAAATAAACTAAGCTGTTATTCCCTAGCAATTATAATTATGCAGAGACAGAAAAATGAAACCAAGATTGCAGAATAGAGAGCCTCCAAACAGACCCCCCCCCCCCATGTACATGAGTAAATAAAACAGTATGATACTGTTGGGGTCCTTCAGATTGGCGAAAGTTGAAGAGCCCGTAGCCCCGGGGATTGATGAGTCTGTACTAACAAGAACCCTCAGTAAACCACCAGTGGGGTATGGATTGGTGACAGACACCTTGGAGAGGGCTGTCATGCGCATAGGCCGTGATTACATGATTCTCAGTGTGCGCGCCCCACAAAGTCATTGCAGCCTTGTTTTAATAGCAGAGAACTGCAGAGCCTAACTATCCATTAACAAAGCAGTGGGTGAAGGGTATTTTCACTTGATCAATCGTTACTAGGCTCTGTCTCATCTGTCCCCCATCTTGAACATCCTTTATTTCTCCGACCTTACTCCTGTTCTCTCCCTTCTTCACGCGGTGTTGGCCCGTTGGCCTCCTCACTGTTCCTTAAACATGCCAGGCGCGCTCCCAGTTTGTCCCTGCTCTTCCCTCTGCCTGGACTTGGGGTGCCGGAGAATGAGCCAGCTCCCTTGTTTCCTGCTGCTGTTCACTGAAAGCCTTCTCAGTGAAGCCTGCTCTGGCCACGTTACTAAAATGCCAGAGCTGCGCGTTCCTGCACGTGCGCCGTCCTCCTTCCCGCTTTACTTTGTTTCCTCTGAGCAGTTAGCATTACTGCACATGCTGCACATACTATTTAAGGCCTGTTGATCGTTGCCTCCAGTACAACGTGAGCTGCATGAGGACAGGGTTTTTTCTTGGGTTCCTTGAATCGGGACTGTCTGACCAGCCGCCTGGCACACAGCAGGCACTCACTGCTAAATATTTGCTGACTTAGTGAGTGAATGCATTGAATACTAGGTGGCAGGAGAAATGAGTTAACTGGCTTCTCACCATTTATAAATGTAAAATGGTGTTGGATGAACAAAGCAGTGAAAGCCACAATATAGGCTAGAAAAATACCTGTCAACTCTTAATACTGTTTGCTTCTGGGCAGTGAGACATGGAACAAAAAGAGATTTCAGCCAGATTTGCATAGTTTTATTTTTTTCATTAAAAAAAAATCTGAAGCAAATATAGCAAACTGTTAACAGTTAATTCTGGGTGTGTATTATATTTATATATTCCTACCTAAATCATAAAAGTATCTGAATTTTTTTTTTTTTAAGTAGAGCTTCATTAAGACACAAGATAACATGTTCCAGACATCATTCCTGGCTTTACATAATTTGTTTTTAAACCAGAATGAGTAGAGTCATAGAATTTTAGAGCCCCCAAATTGTGACTCAGGTGGTCTAAGAGTATATGAGAGTCCAAGGATTGTAAAATTCCCCAGGTGGACTTCTGTGTCCAAATTTTGGGGTCACTTTTTAAATACTTCATTTTATATATGAGGAAATTGAGTCCCAGAAAGGCAAAGTGATTTTTGTAAGGTGTCATTACAAGTAAAAGAGGAAACTGGATTGAGGGTGATCATTTTGGTGCTATTTTCATTACGATCTGGTCGTGTGCTTGAAACAGCCTTTGCTGATTTCTGAACCGCGCTCTGTAAATATTTACGGAATGAATGGATGATAGAATTCTTACTGCTGAAACCCAGACCATGTTACCAATTTCCAGAGATTCTTTTTGCTATTTCAATCTGTTATCAACTTAGAATGTTTTTTCCTGGCTGAATTTATCAANCTCTTTTATGTTTGGCTTTCAGCATTGTTTTTGAGGTCCATATTGTTGCATGTAGTTGTAAAGTGTTCATCTATTGCACGAATATACCACATTTTATCCATTCTATTGTTGATGGGCATTTGGGTAGTTTCTAGTATTTGGCTTTTATAGGTGGTGTCATTGTGGATGTACGTATTTATTTCTGTTGAGTGTACAATCGAGTGGAATTGCTGGTACAGAGGGTATGCTTATATTCAGCTTCACATAATTTCCGGTGTGGTATGATTTTACACTCCTACCAGCAGCATATGAGAGTTTCAGTTCCACATCTTCACTAACGCTTATTATTTTGTGTCATTTCATTTAGACATTCTAGTGGGTGTGTAGTGATACAGTGCTGTGATTTTAATTTACATTTCCTTAAGTTGAAGGACTTTTTTAAGTTGAGCATCTTCATATGCTTATTGACTACTTGGATTTTCTCTTGTGGCGTGCCTGTTTGAATTTTTTGCTATTTAAAAAAATTTTTTTGAGTTGAATGTCTTATTCATTAGTTTTTGGGTTTTTTTTAAAATTCTGGATGTGAATCATTGTCAAATATATGAACTACAAATATCTTCACATACTCTCTGGCTTGCCTTTTTACTTGATGTTTTCTTTTCACAAACAAGTTACTAATTTTAATATCATACAGTTTATCAATTATTTCATTTATGATAAGCACTTTTTGTGTTTATAATCTCTGCCAGCTTAAATGTCATCAGATGTTCTCTGTGTTTCTTCTAATGTTCTCTGTGTTACTTCTAAAAGCTTGACTGTCTTGGTATTTAGATCTGTAGACCATCTGGAGTTGGCTTCTGTATTTAGTGTAAGGGAGAGTTCAAGATTCATATGAATGTCCAGCTAACACAGCACCCATTCTTAAAGGTGCTTTTTCCATGCATTGCGGTGTTACTTTTGTCATAAAGGTCAGATGACTATGTGTAAGGATGTGTTTCAGATTCCTGTATCTGTTGGTCAGGTCATCTATCTTTAGATAGCTTTTTCTTTTTAAAAATATATATATCCTCTTAGTAGATATTGTTTTCAGGTAGTGTAAGTTACCTAGTTTTGTTTTTCCTTGTAATCTCTTTTTAAGTGATGAGTCCCCTCAGGTCTCATTAGCCAGCACCCGGTCACATGACTACGCCTAAGCCAGCCAGTCGGAAGGAGAGTGGCTGTTGTCATGATTGGCTTCAACTAATTAGGAATATCTCTAAATCATGTAGTAGAGAAGTAGACCCTCACGACAAAAGTCTAGTAACCAGGTAGAGGGGGGGATAGCTGTTGGGTAGGCTACCTACAGTGTTTGCTTAGGTTTAAGACATTTTTATTGCTTGTTTTTTAAAGGTGAGAGAGATCTGAGCATATTAAAAATTGATGGGAAGTTGTACAGCAATATAAATGTACTTAATGCCACTTAACTATACGTTTGAAATGGTTCAAATGGTAAATTTATGTGATGTGTATTTCACCATAAAATATTGATGGAATAGATTCTTGAGGGAATGGTTAATATACAGGTGAGAGGAGGGATAATTGATATTTTAAGAATGGAGGAATTACGTGGCACAGGTAGAGAAATTGGCCATATAAGCAGAAAAGGTAAGGCCAGATATGGGTTTGTCTGTATGCATGTTTGGTAGGAAATTCAGAGAGTTCTCTTTAATGCTCCAGTGTAAACATTGAACTAGAAGCAAAGTTCATCTGCTAAGAGAGAAGAGAGTTGAAGTTTGAGGAAAGCACACACGATTTGAAATGATC